ATTAGATCATTTAATATTTTAAAATACATTAAACAAACAGAAAAATGGCTATAAAATAAAGGAATCAATTTCATTGTCTGGTTACTTAATCTTATTTCATTGCCAAGAAATTATCATGATAAGAAATTGCCAAGGTATTATGGCCAAAGTGAGTTCAGTGCCAGATCATAGGGTTTGGTTGCTCCAAAAGTAATTTATAACGTGTTTCAAAAAAAGACAACATACAAACCCTACAGTGAAATATGCAAACAGTTTTCCTTTCAATAAAAGTTAGAGGAGGTTTCTAGGGATTTAAGATTGTACCTCAACATAAATAAAATATGTAAAAATATAAACTACAATGAGATTAACCAAAGTTATTTATGTGTACATGTGAGAAATTATTACTAATGTTTCAATAAATTAAATACAATATTTCACAGAGTATAATTTTGTGAGTTAAATTGAATCAGCTGTTATTTTAAACAAAAAATAAAAGAAGACAGTCTGACTTTTTACCTGATGAACTTATGAATAATTCTAATTTTTGTTTTCATTACCAAATCCATTATTCAAAATATTAAGAAGCATTTAAAGAATCAACATTTATTTAGCTATGATCAAACACACACAAAATGTGACTCATAAAAAATATACCATACTAATAAATTCATATTTACCTATAATAGAGAGTAGTTCATAATGGTGTGCATCAGACTCATATTTGATCATGGTGGAGTCCTTTGGTAAAAGTGGTATTGCTTCTGATAAGCAAGAGGCTTCAGACTAAAAAGTAGAAATACACATTTTCAATGATAATCATAAGTACTGTGTTTTCAAACTCCTGAAAACATGATGTAGCAAAGTTTGGATACGAATGGCACGAATGACACAGCACAACAGATGCCCTCTCATTCTAATTTGTAGGCTAATTGAAATACCTACCACTAGCCAACATTCTAGTAGTACCTTTTACATGTAAATGAGTCTACACTGCTTCTCGTTGTTTGAATCTATTACAATATTTATCTTTAAGATCACTTTAACATTATAAAAACTACAAATCCAGATTTATATAAAAGTTGCTAACTGGTAATTATTATGGCATACAACATACTTGTATTGTATACTGTACAATTAAACAATACACACTACGTAATTATACATTATTAGAGATTATTAGAAAATAAAATTAAAGGATTTCCTATAATGCAATGTAATCTTTTCAGTGGTAATGATTTGACATTGCCATTGATATGCATGTATGGACCAAAAAAATCCTAAAAATTTATCTATGCAATCTATACTATTATTCTGCTTGTTTGTATGTACGACAATTACGCTTTATGACCGAGAACCTGCTGCATAAGCATGCGTAGTTAGAATGTTTCCCCAAGAAAAACCGTGCATGCACATTATTCACTCAACGACAAACAGTATGCCTCACAAACAGTCAGGGGAATGTAAATATACTTTATTAACTATTTTGCACAACAGAATATTAAAACTTATCAAAGTGTTTAAAAAAGGTTTGACATTAGGTTGTACAATAACATTATAAGTTTATTTATTGACAGTATTAAGTACAGTAAAGTTTAGTCCTAACTAAACTAAAGTAAAAAAAAAAACGTACACAGGTTACAGTGTTAATTTATCTCTTTATCAAACTTAGGTCTAACATAAGTTAAAGTTTTATAAAGTACGGCCTATATACAAGTGGATTTACACATTTTGTTGTCTACAATTACAATTCATAGCTATTGTGCTAGAAATGTTATATTTAAAGCAGTACTGTTACGATAAAGATACTAATTTGGATGGAAATGTTTTACGGGTCTCTGTTAGTCAATGTATTATTAGCATAAAGAAAAATGTTCATTTTGGAGCTTTTATCCTAAATTAATTTATATAGATTCTAAAGTATAAACATTTTACTGTCATTATAATTTTAAAAACAAACCTTTGAGAAATACCTATGAAAATATTAGGAATGGGTTAAGTAATCTATTAAAATAGGCAAAACATATATTTGATAACACAGCAGATCTATAATACACATTGTTGTTTTTCAAGTACAATGAAGCAGTTTTGATATATTAAAAGCAAAAACTGTTACTGAATATTTCTGTTGCGTAACAAAACTCTCTTGAAATGTCTTAAAACCACTCTTCTTAGGTATGCAATGGGATCACAGACACATGTTGCACAATGATTTAAAGTCAAAACATCAGTGTGCTAAAAAAGTTTTAATTTTTCTGACCTAAAATATTCAGTGTCATGAAAATTGCTGTGATTTGAAGTTGTGCTAAAATATGTTTGCTAGTTCCATCACCACAACTCGTTTTGCATTGGTGGTGTAGTCTGTATGTAAAAAAATTATAAATTTAATCTCAAGTAAATAGTTTTGAAGACACAACACATCTGAGATATAGTTTGCCTAATGACATAACATTCTCCTTTGCTTTCACTCACGGGTTCTTGGAATTACTTATATTTCTAGAATGTGGAAACATTTAGCACCCTTTGTGATGTGTGTTTATATCTCAACACTTAGTATATGAGTGTTAATTCAGCTTGGAACATGCTCCACAAAATATAATTAATGACATTAAGATCCTTCATTCATGAAAGATGATCTACAATGAGAAGAAACATTTCCTCTCTTTTTCCCTGACATTCAAATGTGAGAAAAGAAGAGCAAGTGTAAGCTTTACACAGATAGGAAATCAGTTTCACGTACAGTCAAATTAATTGCATATTTTATGCAAACAGTTACTTCAAATAAATCTCTGAAGGAGATGTACATTATAATTAGCTTCTGATCAAAGCATACATCAAAACTAAACAATTAACCCAGTAATTAATATAGTTAATTCAATACAAAGTTTTTACTTATAATTATTAGTATGCAACTGATTCATCATTTGGGAAACCCAGGTGTTAACAATATATTTGGCTGTCCCAATATTAGTTAACAAAATACAAAAAGAACATATATAATAAAAAGTTATAATATATACTGTATATAGATATTAAACATTTTAACCATTACTGCTAAGAAAACTAACATTAAAGAAAAAACAATATATAATTTAATTAAAAAACACAAAAATTAGTAGTTTGCATTATGCACTATCACCAAACCATACATGTAATATTACTTTGTAACCAAAATTAATTTCTGAGTTCCCAGTCATCAATATTTCATGTGAAAAGCAAAAAATATTTATTAAGTTAAACCTAAAATAAAAATAAAATTGCTAACCAATGGCTGATAAGAAGACTCGTCATGAGTAGGCTGACAAACCGAGGAATCTGTGTCTATGGTGCTTTTTGAGAAACTGCAGTCAGGCTGAAAAACAAAAGAATAATAAAAATTGGATAACCTAAATATTGTGTCACAAAACTTATCTTATACTATCCTATCTGTCTTTCTGTACTCAGTTGAAGAATTACTTTAAATAATTTATCACACTGTATTACATTTAAAAATGACAGTGAACTACATTAAAAACTGTTTTTAAAATTACACTTACTGATATAGTTTTAGAGAGTGTAAAATTAATCAATAAATTAGTAAAATTACACAACTATAAGAAGCATACAGAAGCTTGAGCAGAAATAATTAAATGTTAAACATAACTTATGCCACAGCTCAACAATTTTTATAAAATGTGGTTGCAGTATTCAAATACTCATTACTGTAATTTACTTGTCCAAAATCAAACTCTTAATTACATTTTGGGAAATTTTTTTGTTTTCAGTCTTAATTCTTATCACTTCTTTATGCTTAATAACAAACTTCTAAATGAATAACAAACAAGAAGGCAATACATTATTTACAAAGGTAATAGCTTATTGGTACATACAGTATAATATATGTACAAACATACTGTTACAGCTGGGTGGTTAGTGGAATATATGATAATCGATTAATCGTCATGCTCATTAATCCATTACATTAAACTGATTGATTATTCTCACGAGGCTTGAATAATCTGAATAATTAGAAACACTAGTTATGATTATTTTCATGAGCTGTGACAGTCATTGATTAAGCTGAACAATCTTGAATTAATTGCAAATAATAATAACGAAAAATCATTATGGCAGTATAAAAACAATATTTATATTAATATTTTTATATCACATATACCCATAAATAACAATAAAAACAATAATGACCCAAAATCTTACCAAACATGACATTGACTCCTCAGTTGTCCAACGAAAGCACCAATCACAAAATACTTTAATTTCCTACAGTATATGAAAACAATTATAGTATTAAGGATAGAATTACTATAAATATTAAGTTTCAAAGCTGCAAAAAATTACATATGAATAGTCTTTAATTTTACAAATAATGCTATGAAATAAAATAAAAAAATATGTTAGTTATTTCAAAACTTTAGAATCCTTTTTTTTTTTACATTTAGTGTGTGGGAGAGGGGCAAAGAAAATATATCTATTAAAGTTTTATTTAAATATTCTAGTATAGTAGGAAATGAGGAACTTGTTGGTTTTATTACACTGACAAATGATATGCACAACTTCACAAACTATTATATTTTATTGTTTTTAAAATATGACAATAATTACACAGGATGGAGTGTTACTTACATTTAACATTTCCCATTCTGTTAACCATTACTTAATATGGTTTTTTTTATATAATTTATTTTAATGTATCCTGTACTGAAAAATCTGTTCAAGTTTATTAAATTAAGTCATTCCAAGGACTTGTATTATTCTGGATTAACACTAGGTTCAAATTTTGGTTTCTATAGAACAGGTATGTGTTATTACACTGGAATAAATATTGCCTAAATGTTGATGAATACTTACCTTACTAATTACACTTTCTTCAAATTTAAGGATAAGATTAGCATTGTCTTAAGCATAGTCAGAGGAACGTATTGGCTAAACATAGCCTGACAAAAATTGTGACTTTTTATGCATACTTGTATTTGAGTTTATGAAAACAAAATTCATGTTCTTTTCTGAGCCACTTATAGCCACTCAGAAAAACATGCATTTTCAAACCTGCTATGTGTGAAGAACTATTTGAGGACTTCAATGACAAAGAAATGTCTAAACAATCTGATGATACTACACTGTAATCAAGATAAAGACTGATAAACTAGACTTACTCAACACTGCACAGATGTTTTCATTTGAAAACAACAGAAGGCACACCTAATTTGAAAAATTCCACTGAATATCAAGTATTACAAATTACATTATATTATTCAATATCTTAGTAGAAATGGTGTACAGCCCCCTCAAACAAAAATTACTTTCCTGTAAAATTTCCACTGGCACCAAGGATACTACACTTAAAAAGGGACTGAATAAGTAAATGTTATCAAGTTAACATGAACCTAATTTACAAATCTTTCTCAGCATAGTAATTTTTTTTTTTAATTTTTAAGGTGTAGAAAGCAAACACACAATCCTTTATACACTTTACTGACTTTAAATAAATGGTTCTCAACCTTTTCTTGGGTTCAGGACCTATTTGTAAACAATTATGGCCAATCATGACTTACTTCAGTGCAAAAAACACTTCACTTACTAAATATTTACATAAATAAATACACTATTATATATTTTCAAAGTCTGTTTGCAATTCCTTCACACATTCTGATGACTTTGATTCTATTACTCTGGAGAACATTGTAAATTTAAATTACATGCATGTACAAAAATAAGAGCCTGACAGAAAGTGTAAGATTACTTAATTTTTAACTAGAGTTTGCAAACATTTTCTAATGCCATGACCAAACAACCACTTCTCTCAACAACCAACATATATATTTGCAACTGTAGCCCTATTAATATTCTATTACAACCATGCCTATGGTTTCAATAGATCTCTTTTACATGATAACTGAGAGAGTAATCATAGGTTCAATCCTTAAGCTTCAAGCAATTTTCAATTTCTATACAATATGATAAAGGTAGCTCATCCCAGTCAGTATCATTGTATTTAATGTTATTCCTATGATCTTGTTTCTAATCTGAGCAACATTTAGCTGCTTAAGACATTAATAATACAAAAATTTTACTCTCTGAACCCTAACTAGAACACTATGACACAATTCCTTCATCTGTTATCCATCACTACAAAAAAACAACTCTTCCAAAATCCCATTAACATAATTTATTACATAAATCAAACTATATCAATACTATATCAAATCCATACTTCTGGGTGTCAAAACTTGATTGAAGACTTTTACATAATTCGTGAATATAATAAGCAAAGAGTTTTTCTAACTTGATCACAATATTCATATTCAAACCATGATTGTTTTCCAACAGATTATGTGAAATTCTTCTTAATAATTCTAGATTTTACTTTCTTCAATATGGTAATTTAAGACTTCCTCAAATTTTTGACCTCATTATATCAGTGCAAATTATTCCACACAATCTTTTCTTACCCTTGGAAATCTCATCATACGTGCATATCAAAACAAACAATATTTTGTACTAATTATTAATAAGAAATTCTGTTGGAAGTTAAAAAAGAGTGTATAATACTACATCAACCACTCTATATCTGCTATGTCTAGTGCTGACAAGGACTGGGTACAGCAGATATAGAGTGGTTGATGTAATATTATACATTCTTCTTTACTTTTACTATTAAAACTATTTCAAGTATAAATCGTGATGTTTATTGACAACATCATTAACTACATATGCTTGTCACATGTAACAAACAACTAGAAGATCTGGCCATGTAAAGCTTATTGGATTGCCATTTAAATTATTTCAATCTCCTTTATATGATTTGGGGAAAAAAGGAGAAACAATAGGGAAGTAGTATCCCAAAGTTATAATTTTTCTAACTGACAAGGTATTTTCCACAGGTACTTCCCTCTTCTCACAAGATTAGCTTTTCTTGTTTTATGCTGCCCTCTGTATGCAAACTTTTCAGAAATGCATGCCACAAGCCTTTATCATCCAAAGTTCCATCACATCTCTCATGCAAATTATCATGTATCACATCTCCACCAATAAGAGAGCACTCCGATCATGTGATGCATACAACTCCAGGAATGTGTCCTCCGGAATCTGAGGGAAGTCCATCACATGTACTCAACCCCCACGACTGTGAAACCAGCCCAAAATGCCCCACAGTCAGTAAAAACTCATCACCCAACGAGGACAGAAGCAGAAACAGGCCGCATAGACCTTCTGCAACCCACAACCAAAAGACAAGTCGAGAGGGGAAGATGGACAACCCAAAACCTGTGGTTCACTCAATCTCCAAAACCTCACTCACTGGGTCCTGACATCCACGCAAGGAGGAGGGCACTCAATTGGAGGGGTGAACTGCATTTAGGCATCTCAGCTCCAGAAATTAGTACTCATCCAGAGGATCTTGTAAATTCCTCTACACCAGCAAAACACCACCACCCAACTCTGAACTGAATGGTTATAGCCATCTTTGTGGAACCAATCCAGCAGGTTGCCTCCATGGTCAACCATTCCAGTGGCTTGGAATTGGTAAGTGGTAAGGACTCCCATACTCCACTGGAAGAAAGGGGGAAAAGTGTGGTGGAAAATGCAATGGGTGATCATGAAACCCTATTTTTAAAAGCAGACCACACCAATTTATTCAATCTAGGAATGGCAGGGATGGGCAATCCCCTTCTGAGGTAAATTGCGGGTATGAAGGACCACACTACAGTTGCCACAGTGGCCAACGGACCCAGATGAAACTGATCAATATGGAAAGGACAGGGGAAGCAAAGACCATGTGGAAACAGGAAAAATGGAAGGTATGGGATAACGCTGCCCAGAACCCCGAAATCGAGGAGACCAAAGAACCCCTCTCAAAGAGCCATGTGAGAAACTTGGAGATACAGGCAACCATTGGGTGAGAAGCCTGAAAACCCTGAGTCAATGTCCAAGAATAAATGCTCCATTTGTGTTGATAGATGGCCAAAAAAATAAGGCCGATTGGAATGGGCTAAATGTGAAACTACTCTGTGAGAGAAACTGGAATTCCTCACCAAGGACCTGACAAAAGCCGGGTGTGAAAACGGAGGACAAATGGAGCAGGATAGAGCCTTAGGGACTGGGGTTGACGGAAGGGAAGAGGAAGGAGAGGGACCACCTGCAGTTGGAGCAACCAAGGGAATCATGGTTGAGCGAGCCAGTAAAGAGCAGTCAGAAGGACCATGCATGAAGTAGCATGGATGAGGGAGACCACCCGATGAAGTAAACGGATGGGAGGGTAAATATAAAGGAACAGATGAGACAATCCTGGATGAAGGCATTGACATCCAAGACTCAAGGATGGGGGAACTGGGGACTAAACCAAGGTAATTTGTGATTGAGGGCAGTGGCAAAGGCATCGATATGGAGTGTACCCAAATGCAGACAGAGCCACCAAAACACAGCAGGATACACGGACCAATATGCGGGATAAACGTGATCTAGTCAGGAAAGATGATCGACTATGAGATTGAAAGCACCCAGTACATGAAACACCATCAAACAAATTTGAAGTATGTGGGCCCAATAAGGAAGATCCATAGTGCAAAAACACAGGGATTTGGACCTGGTGCCACCTTGGCTGGTGGCTGGCAAGAAAAGGAAAATGATTCAAAATGATGACAAACAGCCAGGAGTTTGAGAATACTGATGTAAAGAGAACTCTCCTAAATGGACCAATAACCCAAAACCTCCAGATGATCCACTCAGGCACCACAGCTCTGAAGGGATGCATCCAGGAACAGATGTAAATATGGCCAAGGAGGAGGAAGCAGGACTCCCGCCAACGTGTGGGCCCTGTTTAACCACCAATAGAGATTGTCTACAAGGGATGACAGAAGGGTTATAGAAGTATCCAAGGGGTCCTGGGTGAGGTTCCATTGATTCAAGGACCCATTGAAGAAACTGCATATGGGCCCTGCCCAGGAGTATTTGAGGGGTTATGGAGGAGCACATCCCCAAGAGTGCCAGAACATTGCGAGATGTAACTGAAAGAACAGACAGGGCTTTCTGAATTGCCCGTTCCATAGAATGGAGCCAGAGAGGAGAAGGTTGGACCCGACTTAGATGGGTGTTAAAGAAAACACCTAAATGGATAGGTTATTGGGTAGGACAAAGGAGAGACTTCTCCAATTCGACCAATCAGCCCACCCGTTCAGCTTCAGTCAGAAGCTGATAAATGTGACAGGCCAATACCTGTTCAGAACGAGCAAGAAGAGGCCAGTCATCCAAATAAACATAGAAGC